ATGAAATTTTAATTACTGCATACTTCGAATCTTTTTATTCAGCCGTGTTCCTAGTGTGCATAGGTACATACATCAAAGTTCAAAAGCGCGTCAGCTGTAATTATCCGTAACTTTGTAAGGGAAAATTTAATTCGTTCTATAAGTACTTGTCACATTCATAAATGGAAAGCCCTTTTTAATCAAAAAGAAGTGTCGATTTGTTGCATTAATTGAATAATGGATGTAGGCGTTAACACGAAGGGCCTTATATTCACGGAGGGCTGCCGTAAAATACTGTTTGTTTGAAGTGAAAACAACATCCCGTACACTCAAGAGATTTCCATCACAAAAAAAAACGGTAGACTGAGAATAAATACAGTTGTTCTACCAGACAGGAGTACATTCAACAATCGAGACGTCTCTTACAAATAATAAAAAAAGCACACGCACCCTTTCTCTTGCTTTCCACTCTAGCATATACGCACAGCCCCTGTGAATATTTGTTCCTAAGAGATTATATGTGTCCCTAAGAAAAAGACTGCGATTTCAAAGACAAAGCGTGCAATTTCTGGAAAAACGAACGTCGTCAGCAATTTTCCCAAAGAAAATCTGTCTTTCATTAACATCTGTCTTTGTCGTTTGGCAGTATCGAGTGAAATGTCTTCTCTCACACGGCTGCGATGCTTATCCTACAGCTATTGTCGAATTTATCCTTATAAATGTTTTGTTCTTCGGAATTGTCATTCAAAGTAATTTCAATCTAGCCCGCTTTCTCGACAGATTGCGTTTGCCACGTATTTAGAAGCATACCTAACTATTTTTAAACCATCTAAATAAGAAATCATCATTCGTGGAATAAACGACACATAAATTCATTAGAAATTAAACGAATTTTTTAGTGGACTTATAAATACAACCGTTGTTGAGGACGAGAACGTATATAAACTTCTTTTTATTCACGCATGATTTAATGCCGCCGCGCCGTTTGAAGATCCCTTCGAAAAAGGGCACGTACTTGTGTAAAAAGCAACCGAAATTTATTATTGCATTTTTATTTACCCTTTCGATTTTATAATTTAGATTGAAGTAATGCACAGTATTCTCAATAAAATGCCCGAATTTTGGTTAAGATTACTGAATAGGCTAAAAGTTCCTGAATGTACGATCACCGACTAAAGTAATGATAATCGAAAGCTTACTGCCACTTAGGCAACCAACCATACATTATCTAAAATAGCAACGTTGAAGTTTTCCAGCGGGGATTCGTGTGGGATGCCTTGATATAAAGGCTATGGCAGGTATGATTACAATTGGAAAAAACGGATTTTCTGCATTTTGCGTATTGGTTTTCCTAATTGTTGCAATATACCTACTATATCAAGACCTTTATATCAAGACAGTGACGAAGATACTGATAAGAAAGAACAGTACGCGACGCATGTGGCCCGTAACCATCTAACATGGGAATGTTAATAATTACCTTGTTAATTACTTATTAGATAAGCAGTGTGTTCATATTATGGTTCTCCCGTTAAAAGGATGTGTCATTTTACCACTTCATCAGTTACTTGTTATGAAGTGTTCGCTGAAGTTGTTACCTCTATTTTTTCAATTTAGATAAAAAGAAAAAGACAATAATTACAATTTTTCACTGTCAGTTTGGCTGGAAACAACCCAATTTTTTTTTAAATAGAACATACTGTTGTGACGTACCTAGGCCAACCCCGAGAGGCTGCGCAACTCAAGATTTAAATTCAAAACGTTCCCTTCCAAACTAACTGAACACCATGGTTCTAGTATTTCCTTATTCAGGTTAGGTAGTTTTGTCTATTTATTTATTTATTTAAATAAATAGGTAAATAAATAAATAGACAAAGCTACCTAACCTGAATAACGAAATACTAGAACCACTTACTACGTTGTGTTTTTAAAGTCGCTACGAGATTGCTTATCGCAGTGAGGATCCAATAAGGAATTATACGAATAAAACAAGTACATGCTTTCAAAACGGAAATTTAATTAAAATAAATCACATTGAAAGCTTAAATCTAGATAAGGTAGTTTACAGAGTACACATAAAAATAAGCTGAGAAAAAAAGAACTGACCAAGAAAACCAGTGAACAAATTATACAGGGTGGTGCCTAGCGCTACGCAGCATAGGGATTCCAATAGTAATTTCTTTATAGTCAATTACTAGCTCCCCTAATTATTTTAGAGCAAAAGTCTAAATACGTTTTTTTCAGAGAAAAAAATACTGCATCTGTTCATACTATTACTCGTAATTTTCCGTTTTTCAAAACCGTAGAAATCGACAAATAAAAAGGTACATTTTACAATAAATCAGATATGCCTTGGAATTCCCTAAAAAACAGCGGCAACGTGTCATTATTTGCCTTTGACGTATAATTAACTTTATACTTGTTTATGAATTAGTTAATATCATAAAATCGTTTATCATGAGAAAGAGGAAATGTTCAAATTGTTTTATTCCCGCCAAGTAACGTCCTTATTTACTGTGAAGTACCCCAATCGACCGATTCCAAGCAGTACCACAGTAGACAGAATTGTGCGTTAAGTTTCAAAGAACAGAAACTCTGCTAAATCACTGCAAGTGCAATAACGTTCAAAATGTTCATCAAAACCATCAGGAAAACGACAATACATTCAACGTTTTGGCTGCAGTAGCGGAAAATCCGATATAAGTTTAAGGACAATTCTTCCGCAAATCAATTTCTTTTTCTTCGATTATGTACTCTGGTCCCGGAAGACCAAATAGTATCTGATGCAGATGTAGCATTACATTCTCTAAAAAAACATGACCCCATAAACGCTTTTTCTTGCGTCGGTTAGTTGAAACAGAATTAAATATGAAAATCGATCAACGTCAAATAACCATAACTTAGATGCGATGCGCTTGTAGTTTATTAAAAGATTCCAAAGCATCACTGATTTATACAAATATAATTTCTTATTTTGCCGATTTCTACGGTTTTGAAAAACGGAAAATTATACGTAATTGTATGAACAGATGCGGTATTTTTTTTTCTAAAAAAACATATTTACACTTTTGCTCCAAAATAATTAGGGGAGCTAGTAATTGACTATAAAGAAATTACAATTGAAATCCCTATGCTGCGTCGTTCTAGGCACCACCCGGTATATTAAGCTATCATAGAAATGCGCTGTCAGACATCTCTTTTTGTTGTGTATTATGTTTATTTAATCCACTATTGCTTTCTATAAAGCAGTGCAAAAATACTAATAAAAATAATGTCATTAATTTCATCTTCTTGAAGAATTCGGTACCAGCTGGAATTTGTGCGCCATTTGAAAAGCATCAAGTTGTGTGTTAAATATAATACAGCAATATGGCCACGCAATAACTTTATGCTTATGCACGTGTCGCTTTATGTCGCCCGGAATTAATTAATATCTGCTGGTCGAATACGACCTTAATTACAATCTCCCACATGCACCTACTATTATAGTGAACATGGAAAATCATGCTTGTATTGTGAGGACGAGGTATTTCATAATTGAAATGGAAAATGAATTCTTAGTTTTTACAGGGGCTATAGATATTTATCATGCTACTTTTCATTCTAGTTCTAATAAGATTCTAACGAAATAAAACATTTGAAAGATGACTACTTCTGAGGAAGAGTAGAAATTTTACAGAAATTATCTGACGAGGCGGTAGGTTAGTGATATGGACACTAGCTTACAAACACGAAGGTGCAGGGTTCGATTCCCGGACCCGCCAACAAACAACCTTTGGCGTTTTTCCTCTTCGCCTCTCAGCCTCGATACAAAGAATACCTGGGGTTTACCCTGGAGTAATATGGGCGGCTTTGAAGCGTACTTACCTGGAATTTGTTCCAGTTCGACTTCCGGAAATAGGAAAGGCTGTTCACACTGTACTTTGCCCTATACCACGCTTTCGAATGACTCCTTTTTTTTGTTAAATTAGGAATCCTTTTTTCGTAAACTGTTTTGTTATGTGCTACTAGGATGAAGTAATACCTTGATACTTCTTCAAGTCGGTCGCATCTGTTAGCTATTTTAAGGGTTAAGTTTGCGTTGTGAATTTAAAGCTCCCCAACTTTAGTATTCTTTAAAAAACGACCTGATGTGTAAAGTAGTTGGGATTAAGAATACAACTACTACTTTATAGAAACGGGCATCTATGCTAAGTAGCTTCCTCGCTAATAGCCAATTAAACCAGAAATACGCTTGCAACTTGGTTAATTCATAGATACGAATCCGATCTCAGAATGTCAAGGGTCGTTATGGCGCATGTTAATAAAAATTAAATCTGTACATTCAGCAAGTTTCGGGGTCATGTTCATATTACACGTGCCTGTATTTCAGATGCAGAATTCCCACTCGGTGTGAACTTCTGGTTCTTACTTTTCGACCTTTCAATATTCTAAAGACTTTTTCTAATCGCCTTTTTTTCTGTTTGTAAACTTGCCACGGACATTTATCGATTTCACTTTTGTTAAAAATAATTATTTTTCGGGGTATTAAATATTACTTAGTTTCAGAATTACTGTGTGTGTAAAAAGTATTGTGCCCTGACGTGGAACACTTCATCTTTTTTGAAGGATCCGTATAGGTCATACATAGAACACTTCTTCTTCTCTACTCCTTATGCCTTTTCAGGCGACACAAAAGTTTAATTTGCGTAGGACACTCATGTAAATTTAACAACTAGAAAATCGAAATTTTATTCTAAGCAAAAATAGAATTTTTTAACATTTTTTACCCTAGTAATTCGCTCTTTACAGGAATGATTTGGTGCGTTTAGTCAAACGGAGCACTTCAAAAATAACATTTTACTTACAAACAAAATAGGTTATACAGCAATTAAAATAACACACTTAAAATTAAAAATTTCACTTTTAATACAGTATTGCTTATTGTTTGTACGATTATGTTTGTGTATAGGGCCGAAGCAGTTCACTTATTTAACAAACAAAAAAGTAACATTTCACTTCATATGAGCTGCGTAAATTTTAATAGTTAGACTCTGAATTTTAAGGGGAATGAAAGCTTCCCCAGCCTTTCACACAATAACTGAAAAAAACAACAACGACATTCAATATGAAGTAAATGTTATTACTATTAACAAATTCATCTGTCTGGAAATTCAAATAATCCCTTGCCCAATCACAGTATGTTTATATTAATTCAATTGGTAGAGTGCCTTACGGGCATATTTCGTTTTACCACGACCAATATTGCTTCCTATCCATAAACTAAAAATATACTAATATTAATTAATGCTAATTAAATTTGATTTAAATTAATTTGAACGGATTCTGCATAATTAAAGCGCGATATACTATATGGAGAAAATTCCTCGAAATTTCTATCATTAAAAAACCATTTTACACTGTTTCTGTTGAACTATAGTTCGTGCAGTAACCCGCCAGCTCCAAAACCAACCAAAAAAATGTAAAGTAGTATCCCATAAAAACAAAACGATGGATTTTTGGAAAGAAAAACGGCTGCAAGATCTACAATTTGAAACTATAAATTTTTGGTCTACAATAGTCTACGGTATACCTACCATGTGTATATTTCTAGCCCATATCTGAATACTATCAAAAGGTAAATCACGTAGGCAATCGTGCCGGCTCTTTTGGAAGCTACGTACCTTTTTTTGGCTGAAATAAAAGTAAAAGTTGGATTTTGTTTGACAATCTGGTACACTTACTTTCGTCGTCGAACTTTTGGAAGTGATAGGTGTCTTCCGCTCCATATACTTGGGACGTGACTATCAGCACCACCAGCAGTATCACAACTGTAGGGATGATTTAAAATTAGTAACTTACTCTATATCTGCCAGTGGATCACTCACCAACTATTTTTGATGACATTTTCGTTTCAAACGCCAAACACGTTCGACAAAGAAACAAATGAAAAATAACTTAATTGTTTCAAACGATAGTATTGTGATCGGGGTGGCGATGACACTACCTGTCGATATCCATAGGCGTAACAAACAGAACAAGGACCTTATCTCCTAAATAATTTCTTATTTATGTTCGGAAAGCTTCTCCAGGCGTGAAATTTATAACCATCTTTCTCAAATTGGGGTTAATGTACAATTACAGATTTTCCAAGGTACGGACAGACTTGAACAATTTAATAATTTGCAAAATTGATACTACGCCAATGGGTTCCCTCTATGTCTTTCCAATCAAAGGTGCTATTCGTAATTATAATGGTGATAAAGGTGAATCACTATAAATATTTATACGCAGTGGTATTTTATCTATGGCTCAAGTAAAATGAATGGTATGAAGTTCTATCAGTTACGAATTTGTTTATTACAACACTATCGTTAGTCATTTGCAATAATGGGACTGAATTCAGAAATGTTAGGGTTTACCTATTTCAACAGTCCACAGAAGAAATATTCTTTTAGCTATGGGAGTGAATAAATTTGGGACAGATCAGACAATTCTTCCTTAAAAATTGACCGTTTTTCTAATTTTGTTTGGGAGAAACTAAATCTCACCGAAAGCTAACTTTTGAATTGAGGCACAGGCTCATACCTCTTCTACTTCCACAGAACTTTTTTTTAGATACTTCATCGAAGAAGGATTGACAATCGCCATTTTTTTTTAAATGGCACCCCCGACAAATTTGTAGAAAAACGTTATTTTCTGAACCCAAGTTTTCAATGCTTGGCATGTTCTTTATTCACACGAAAAGTAATTCTCATTTTTGATACATTAATGGACAGAGCGCTTTCGCACAGTAAATTATTCAGTCAATGAAAAAAGATTTAGGTAAATTTATTGATAAATTTTACAAGGAAATATTGTTGCACATTTTTAGAAACCAACCGTATTAGAAAATAAGCACGGTAAATTTAAAAGATAATAACGTTGCGTTTAGATACATAATTTGCAGTGGAAGAACTTGCTCGTCAATTAACATCTGTAAGGGTGGGTCTAGGAAAGGTGAAACCAGGCATAGAAATGCAACCGCCGCTGCAAGACAAGTATTATTTTACATTATACATTAAACTTATTACCTACCCTTAAACATGTTTTGCGGATCTTCAAATAACCATAGTATAAATAATCCAATTAGCATCGTCCAGAAACTATCCATCCTTCAATAATTTAACCAATATGCAATTGTAATTGGACTAAAATAAACAACTTCTTTTAGAGCACAATATTTTGTGTGACGTTGACGTTAAATATACATTTGTTACAGTGACAACTTCGATCCTTTTTTTGTTGTCTTTTGGCAGATATTCTGCTTCGGATTTGTCAAGGGAGGTCTTCATAACGCGTGGCTGTTTTCTTTTAGGTTGTACACCTCTTTCGTAATTCTTGGTGCATGTCACAGTAAATGCAGACCACACCAACGATACATATGGGATGGTCCTTGTGTCACCGTTCCCTTCCGAACGCTTGCCTAGTGCCTACCACTTCTGCTCGTTATCTTCTCGGTTAATTAAACCTTCATCAGGTACTTGAATCTACTCCATTGTCGGAAACGTAGAGTCTCTACTGCTCTGGTTCACAGTCGCCGCTGCTAGCAGTGGGTTACCAATTTGATCACCTCTTCAGTAGGAGGTGGATCCTGTTGGTCGTAAGGTATGTGTGCGAATCTTCCTGATCTCATCCTTCTTTTGGTAGCACCCAGTTCTCCCCATATCTATAAATTTTACTTAGGCAAAAGCTTTTTCTACACATATCACCCCCTGCCTTCTCAGGTCCCTCAAAATAGGAGTTTGTTTCAGTGATGACTTCTTCATTCGACTCAAATTTCTTACCGGCCAGCCATTTCTTATCGTTTGAAAATAGGAAATAGCCGGAGGAGGCTAAATATGGTGAATACTCTAGATGGTGTAGCAGTCTCTATCCCAATTTATGGAATTTTGTCATGATGATTACAATAGTGTGCACCCGTGCATTGTCCTGATGGAACTGCACGTTTTCTTTGCCAAATACGGTCGTGTCTGCTTCAAATCAATATCGAATTTATACGAAAGCTCTGAATTATATTTTCCGGTGATCGTTTTACCCTTTTGAAGATAAATCGACCTGCATTACACCGCGTGCATCCCAAAAAACTGTGACAATGACCTTGTGGCCTTCTTTGGTGCACGTTCACCTGAAAAAACCCACTGTCTTGGTTGCTGCTTGGTCGCCGGTGTAATCTAATGGATCCATGTTTCGCCAAGGGTAACGAAACGGCGCAAAAACGAAAACGAAACGATCTTTTTGATATGGCCAATTCCAAATTTGGTTAACTGTTTCTCCATGGCGTATTCTAAAAAGTTAAGTAGCTCAAACCCGATTAGGACACGAGATTTGTCTTAGACGGCAATAAATTGCACAAAATGATTATTTTGAGGCACTAACTAATGCTGAATTTTACATTAGGTAAAGTTGGAGCCCCATTCTAGACATAGAATATACCAACAAATAGCACACTGTAATAGCATTTGTAATTTGGCAATATTGAGTATAGGTGTGAAGTTCGAAAAATTTGATAACTGGGAAACCATACAGGCTCAAAATAGCCTATAGTATGGTTAAAAAATAGTAGCACAGATTAAGCATGACCTATGTTTTGAATAAAAAAATGCAAAACATTCTAACGTACACAAGGGTAACCTTGTCAGTAGCAGAAAATCTGAGAATGCTTCCACATGCAAGGTCAATTTTGTAAGGAATTGCGTAATTATATAGTTTTAAGTTGTCATTTTAGGTAGAAAATGGTAAAACAATTTTCTGCCGCCATCTGCATTACCTTTCCCCAGAGCTGGGCAGTATTCGATTTTGTAAATACTTTTTAGTATTCAAATCCTTTAAAGTATTCAAATACTTTGTAATTAAATACTTTTATGGAAGCAACTCAAATACTTTCACAAATATTTAGTATTCGAATACTTCGCAAGGTATTTGAATACTTTGAGAAGTATTCGAATACTTCGCATAGTATTTGAATACTTAACCTTCCTTCTTTTACCAAAAATCGACTACTCCAAAATTTCTCGGGAAAACACTTTTTCTTATTAATTTTGGTGCGTAGAATCCAAAACAATTCGTACTTTTTCGATTAGACTTCTCAATCAAAAGCTATAGACTAGAAACCAATTTCGAAAGAAAATTCAAAGGGCTGTAACTTTTGAACTAGTAGCCCAATCTTGGAACTGTTTGAAATTATGGATTCTACAGGCCACATTATATAAGAAAATTTTTTTCCGGGTCGATCTGAGACAATTTTTTCTTCGGGCCTCAAAAAAAGACAGTGTATAACCTTCCTTTTTTACCAAAAATCGACTGCACCAAAATTTCTCGGGAAAACACTTTTTCTTATAAATTGTGGTGCGTAGAATCCAAAACAATTCGTACTTTTTCGATCAGACTTCTCAATCAAAAGTTAGACTAGAAACCAAGAAAATTCAAAGGGCTGTAACTTTTGAAGTAGTAGCCCAGTCTTGGAACTGTTTGAAATTATGGACTCTCGATCGATCTCGATCACAGACAATTTTTTTTGCGGCCTCAAAAAAAGGCAGTACTTTTAAGTTATTCAAATATTTGAGAACAATTTAGAAATGTTTAGGGAAAGTTTCCATTGTCACAAAATCAAATATAAAAATCCGATACATCTGAATACCGAACTCGATAGTCTACGTAACTTAAAAACAATAGGGACCTTTCTTATATCCTTAAAACTATGTGTACCAATTTTCAAAGCGATCGCACGTTTCTAAACAAGTTATCATGCACACGGATAAACGGATGGTCAAAAATGGATCTGTTTCAAAATCGCTAGGATCAATTTCAGAAAGGCGTACGTATCATGTGCACGACGTACGATCGCTTTGAAAACTGGTACACGTATTCTTAAGGATATAACTGGTATAAGAAAGGTCCTGGTAGGTACCTATAGCAATATAATAATAATAATACGCTTTTACTCCCCTTATATTTGTATATAACATTAGAAATATAAAAAAAGCTAACCCCATACAAAGTATAACTTGATTTTTTAAGTAGTATTAAGCCTTTGATCTAGTATACTATTTTAAATTTTTAATGTATTTGATTGACAAGTATTTGAATACTTTTTACTGTATTCGAATACTTTTCAAAGTAAGATAATGAAATACTTTTCAATGTATTCGAATACTTTTTATAGTATTCGAATACCTTTGAAAGTATTCGAATACTTTTGAAAGTATTCGAATACATTCTAAAGTATTTGAATACTTATTTTTTTAAGTATTTGAATACTTTTCAATGTATCTGTATCTAGTATTCGCTTGTGCTGAACGTAAAAGTATTTAGTATTCAAATACCTTTGATTTGTGTAAAGTATTTACTATTTAGTATTCAAATACTTTTTGAAATTATTCTGCCCAGCTCTGCCTTTCCCCCACTCTCAGTTACCACTTCCAGTTATTTCCCCAAACGTACCCTTCGGAATTATTTGTTAGAGGGACTTCTTCATTAAGAGAGCTTGAATTTAACCCGACTTCCGATTACACCCTCAATTCCAGACTGCCGTTTTCTTCTTTAAATAAACCCTGCTTAACATTTGTTAAATTCAGATTTTTCTCATGTTTAATTATCATTTTGGATTGTTAAGGGAGGTTTACACCTAACCTGTGCAACACAACATCCGTGGACGGGGTGTCGCTATCCGCCGTTACATGCAAGCAGCGCAAAAACGTGAGAGACGTCAATAAGAATTAATTAATTTGACATTCAATATCGTATTTTACTGGAGAATCTTGCTACGGCTGTAGCTACCCGAACCATCACTTCAAGCAAGCAATTTTCCTATCCCGAGCGAACGTTACCCTGAGAAAATTGCAGGAGCTTTATAATTTTGAATGTGATTTTTGCATAACATTTCCTTTGCCGAAATAATTTCATCCATTCCACGTATCCGTTTGTATACTCGAATA